TGATGGCAAATAGTTAAATGCCTAACAGGTGATAGTGTACGACAGAGGCACTGCTCAGAGCCAAAAATTAAAGGTCAAAACTTGTGTTGTCTTGTTAGCAGCAAAACTAGGAAAAATTCCTTTGTGTTTTCAGTCAAGTTGCTTAACCAGTCCCTGTCTGCTGGCACAATACTTGTGAATATTCACTCACATTTGCCGACTATTTTGGGATCATTAGATAAAGCCTCATAGGTATAAAAGCAAAGTGCTGATTATCCTTATTGCAGCTTCCAGTTATAACAAAGAAACTGTAAGAGCCACTCAATTTAGAACAAGATTAATTCAGAAGTCTTAAATTCCTCTGGCTGGAGCTGTGCTAACACAATACCACTGTGGGAAAGGCCAGGAGGGAGGGCTGGGATGCCAGTAGGGCTGCATTACTGGTACAGTATCTGTGCAGGAGGAGACTTCCAGCAGTACCAGTATGACCTGGGTAAGGCACAGAGATGTGACCACATCGCTGTCCTGTGAAACAGTGCAGATGAGATGGAAGCTCTGCACTTTTACTTGGAGGGCTGATCTATCACAAGTGATGATGATGGTGTAAAGTGAGTTTATACCTGGTCAGCACCTTTTGTTGTGGATATAGCTTTCTGATTTGATGCTCAGGAGCTTGGGAATGGAGTGGATGGTCCTGACAGCCATAGCCTGTGTGGAGAGGAGCCAGAGGGGAAAACAGTCAATTCAATCGTAGTACAAAGAGACATGAAGAGTGCAGTAGATTAGCTAAGGCAGTCATTTGGGTAAATGACATATTGCACGTGATGAAAGTGGAGGTCTGGTCCATTCCCCTTCTTGCTTCCAGCTGCAGGGCCCTGTCCTCACCATCCAGCCCACTCTGGGGTGTGTCTGACCCTTCCCTAAGCCGCTTTAACTTGCTAACAAAGCAGAAAGCAATCCTTTTCCTTTTTTCAGTGTTCGCTTTCTACCAGACTGATGAGCTGAAATGGCTCATGGAGATATCCAAGAAGCCTCAGGTGGTAAAGGGCAATGGGAGGGCAGAATGACAACAGTAGTATCCTTCAGTGAAAATGAGCTGTTAAATCTGCTCATCCCCTCTCAGGAAACTGATACATGAATGTTATGAATATTATCTCACGGATATGAATATGTATTTGTGTCTGAAATTCTTTATAACTAGGCCGCCTGCAAAGTACTGTAAGCTGGTATAAACCAAAAAAGGCTGCTGTCTTGCTGTGCCATGCCCTCCCTTGGGCCAGCACAGGCTTTAAACCCCATTACAGAACTGAGCTCTGATTTCTCCTGATTTTCTGGTTTTTGCAGAGCAGATTTGGCTGAAAGCTAATCTGGCAAAAAAAACTAATTTCCACAGTATCTCATTGCACAGGCCTACAACTGTGCATGCTGGCATATGAAAGGGAATGGATAGGAACAAACAGCTGTGGCAGGGAGGGAGCAGAAGTCTTCCTCTGGGGGGCAAAGCCAGTTTATGCTGCTTACAGCATTAGTTGGATGATGATCTCCTTAAAATGAAATATGGCTTAGATTTCTGTAAAGGAACCAAGCAGGCAGCCTCTCTTCAATGCACAGCAGTATAGTAAAGCCTATTCTCATTATTAGTCAGGTTTAAAAGTTGTTGTATTTTACTCTGAGTAAGTTTAAAGTGAGCATATGGATAACAGTGATGACCTTATTCTTGGAAGTTTTGCATGCCTGACAAGGAGAGGTGTATGTGACTCTGCAGCTGCTTTGGGGGTTAGGATCCTGCAGCTCTCAAAGGTTCTTGGGGTATGTTTTTTTTCCAGGGAAGTATTTTTTAGTCACTGTTCATGATGATCCCGTGCAGAAACAAATGATGTAGGGATCTGATAAGCAAAACCTACCATCAGCTCTCTTTCACTCCATTGACACAGGCTGTAAGTTTCTTAAGAAGTGCTTTATGGGGATTCCAGTTCAACTCTCTTGGTACTCCCATACTTGGCTTGCTGTGCCAATATAAGAGCTTTCCTTGCTGCATTTTAAGTTACATTGGAAGAACTTGGTTTTGGAAAAAAGCGCTGTCCCCTTTGCACTCCCCACCCCAAGAAGACAATCATCATGGCCAGCTCTTTGATAAAGGAAGGAGTTTCTATTCAGACAGTTGTGTAGATTGAAGCCCCAGAGACAGTTACCAGTAAAACCCTGATATGTAGGTGTTAATTGTTACCAGCTGGCTTCAAAGGCTTTCAGACTGTTTCAGCATAAACAAACATGTAGTGCACCCAGAACACAGTAATGTCTTGTTTGTAATACCATGCATAACTTTCAAACAAACACCATCAGAAGGTAAACACAGTGGTGATTCCTCTGCAACCTTTCTTCCCACCCCCTTGTTGATGCGTGATAATGAAATACAATCTCAGTTTCTGTAAGATAAGCATGCACATTTAAATATAACCTTTTCTTTCTGTAAATCCTTACAGTGTAACCACTGACAATTTGAAACCTGACGTTTATGCTTCAGGTATGGCGCTGGGGCCAAAATTGCCTTAACTTTTTCCAGACGTATCAGTTGGTTTAACACAAGACACCATCTCCATCAACAAGATCCAGCCAGCTCCAGTTACAGTGCACACCACTTGTGCTTTCAGGACTTGAGAAAAACCTGATCATACCATGTGTACTCCTGAATGTGCCAGACCTTGCCCATAAACAGAGAAAGGGGGAAAGGGAGGGAGAAACAGGGAGAGCAAAGCCTTTATGTTCACAGTCAATTATTAACCTATACCCCCCTGCTCTCTGTAGCCAAAGCCATATAAGCACAGAGAGCCAGGCTTCCCACCAGCACATCAGCAGCTGAGACAGAGGAGAGCCTTTGAACTCCTACTGCATTCTGCTCCCACTGACTCAGCTCTGAGGCTGCTGTGTGGGATTGCTCCCCCTTGCCATTTCTCTAGAGCAAAGAAAGGTGTGAGGAGCTGTTGCCTCCCTGCCCCAGGTTCCCCTGCTGCTCCCTCCTCAGAAACCCAGCTTAGGAATTGCTAGGAGCTATACCAAGTCTTTCCTTTTCCCCTTGGTTATTTTCCATGTGAATCATTCCCATAGCCCAGCTGACCTGCTGGTCCCGCCGGCAGTGGGGAGGAAGAATTATGCAGCATGATGAATACTTCATGGTGGTGCTGACCCACAAGAAACCACTGAGCCCTTCCCTGCTGTTGGGAGCCAACAGTGAGCTGGCTTGGGGCTGAGCCAGCATGGACCCAGCAGTGGGTCAGGATGGCCACATGGGCTGACTCCAGGGAACCTTTCTGCTGCCCTTAGCATATCCAGCACTGCCCTGCATGCCCTGGAGGTGTTTCTGGCCTGCTATCTTACCCACCGTGTTTCCTCAAGAAACAGTATTCCTGCTCCTTTGCATTGCTGCTTTGCTCTGGAGGAAAAATAAGTCTTTTTTTTTTTTTCTAGTTCAAAGTATATGGGATGCACATTTGTGTACTTACACATGCAAACACACGGACATACCCAGGGAAAGCAGTTCTAGATATGGTTTAATGGACTATTTCCCTGTGATTTGCTCTGAAATGCTGTGGGCTGGTGGCAGACATGTCCAGATTTGAAAAGCCAAGGAGGAATTACTCACCACTGCAGCAGTTACACACTCTGGCTGTGCCTGCTCCTGAGGAATCAGCATAAACTTTCTGCTCATGGGAGTTTATGTGGCATTGTCCCCATGTCATCCACAAAGTTCACTATTCACTTTAACCGCCAGCTTAGGCTGTTTTCGCCCATTCCACTGAAACTCTGGTATTATCATTTGTTTGTGTTTTACACAGCTCTGGGCCTGGATGCCTTTTTGAATGCTAATGTTGGTGAGACATTAACTTCTACTGCAGCAATAGTCCCCTTGTACTGTGTGATGTCATGCTGTGGTTTCGAGGTTTTTATGCAGCCTTTTCTTTGCTTTGTGGTGACTTTCAAGTTGTACACATATCCATGTGTATATTGACCTGTAATCATTGTAATGGTGTTGGGCTGCCTCATGTATTTGCACTATGTTGCATGGGATCTGGTGGTAGGTAAGATGCAGGGGGCATTACTCAGTACCAGATGGTACAGAAAGATGTACTCTGCAGAGTATCCGGTGTTAGCAGTGTGCGGCAGAGCCCTCAGCCCATTGTGCGGGTTGTGTGGCTTTGCCACACCACTTGCTGAAGGGTATATGAGCTGTTGCCATTTTGGGCTTACGAACTTCTGCACGTGTTGCTGTATGTGACAGGGTAGCTGTGGTGCTTGCCTGCACATTGCTGTGTAGTATAGGAAGGTATGTGTGAGGTCCTGTGTTGCTGCCTTGGTAGGTCAGGGGTGCGCAGTACACAGCTGTCCTGTGGCCCTGGTCATCGCACCACGGTGCAGGTTACTGTGCATTACTTCTCTCTAGCTGTGTTTGCGTGACCAAGGGCCTGCTCTGCGTGTGTTTGCCCCGTACTGTGCAGGCCACACAGTGAGGGCTGCGCTGTGCTAGCAGTGGCACAACCCGGTGCTGTGCAGGCAGGGAAGGCTGTAGGGTACTTGAGGCATTATTCCCTCTCAGGGCTGTGCGTCAGAGCGCAATGCCCCTGTAGAAGGCCATTACAGGTCACTACCAGCAAGGACAAGGCAGAGCGCTCTCGCATGTGTGCAGCGTGGGTATCCCGCTCTGCACAGCGGCGGGCACCTGTCCCCGGGATGCACCGGGAGGGCGCGGAGCCGCCTGGCGTTGCGCGGCGCTGGCTCTGCGAGGCAGCGGCTCCTTTAAGCGCGGCACTCCTCGGCACGACCTGCCCGGCACCGCCGTCCCCGCGCCCTTTGCCACCGGCGCCGCTGCCGCCGGCCGCTCCCCCCGCCGTGCGGAGCCGCCCCGCCCGGTCCGTCCCGTCCCGCGCCTCCCCGGAGAGAGCCGGGCGGGGAGGGGCGGGCACAGCGGCCCGCGCGGCGGAAGGAGGCCGCGGCCTCGCTCCCGGCGCTGCCCGCGCGCGGTGAGGCGCAGGCTCCGCGCGCACCTGCCGGCCCGCCCCCGCCGCGCCGCGGGGCCGGGGACAGGCACCTGCCGGCGCTGCCGGGCCAGCCGCACCTGCGCCGCCATACATCCCCCCCACAGAGCTTCGGCCCGGCCGGGCAGGGCAGCGCCGCCGCGGAGGGCGCCGTTTCTGGGCGGGCAGGGCATGGCGGTCCGCTGAGATGAAAGTGACCGTGTGCTTCGGGAGGACGGGCATCGTGGTGCCCTGCAAGGACGGGCAGCTCCGCGTGCGGGACCTCACCCAGCAGGCCCTGCAGCGCTACCGCAAGGCCCAGGAGAAGGTGAGGGCGCGGGGCCGGCCTGTGCCCTGGGGGGCAGTGGGTAACGGTCTGCGCTAGGGGGTGGCCTGGGGGAAGGCCCGGGGCCGGTGCGAGGGCGGCTGGGGGATCGGTTACCGGACGGCGGGCGAGCTGGGTTGGAGGGCGTCCGGTGGAGGCAAGGGCCGGGCTGGTGGGCCCCGCGGCCCCACGGGGGGTGGTCGTGGTGGCGCCTGTTTCGCGTGGGCCCGTGCTGTCGAGTACCCCACCACAGAGTTGGTGTGAGCAGCTGATGCTGGCGGCCCGGGAGTGCGTCCAGCTCGGTTAACAAGCTAGCATGGCTGATTTTACGTGGTTTGAGGTTTCTTATGTTGTTGCTGTGCGTGTTGACTGAAAACTTCATACAGACACAAGCGTAACTTATGTTGTTTTTATGAAAGCTTGTGTTTTCTGGCATTAACTGTTGAGTGTGGTGCTATCTGCATGGGTAGTGACTTCCTTTATATGAAAGGAACTTGAGTTTTTCTTAGATTGTACCTAATTGAGCATAAAAATACTTTTTTTCTGTTTCCTCCAAGAGGCAGGTGCTGCAGGCTAATGGGATAATGCTTAATATGGATGAAAGGCCTAATGGTGCAAATACTGCTTTGCGAAAAAGGTGCAAGTTACAATCCCTGAATTAAGGCCTTGTAGAATTGTTCATCCTCATAAGACATCTGAATAAAAAGTATAGCCAGTGACTTACGATACTTCTTCTGTGTGCTGTGCTGGTTTCTCCTGTGCTCCACCAGTGCTGTGACGTCCTGCATGCAAAACTGGAAGTAAAATTCTTGTTCTTGTGGGTTTGTTTTGAGTGAAACTTGCTACTGATACGTGAAATCCATCATGAACAGCTGAGACTGCTCTGTGGTAGAGGTTATCATGGTCACTGTTAGTCAGTCTTTCTGAGCAAGTGGCCTGCTTTAAGCTGCCTTGAGTCATAGACCTTTACAAATATTTTGTGTGAAAAATCTCTTTCCTAACGCGTAGTGCGTGTGTGTAATAACAACAAAATACTTACAGCATTCTCGGTGTTCTTGCAGCCAATAGTCTGTGAGATCTTTCTCACCAAAGTAGGGTTCAGAGGACTAAAACAGGTATGAGGTCTCTTCAAGAGTGGGGTTTGTCAGAAACGGAGTTAACTCTCAGCTGAACTTGAACTTAAACATTTTAAATTTGATTTCAGCTTTGTTTTGTGGTTGTGATGATTTTGGAATTACTGTCATGATGATGGCTGAAAGGTGGCCTACTTTGTATGAATACTTAAAATGGTTTTTCTTCTTTCCTTTTTTTTTGGGGGGGGGGGGGGATTCCGTTAGAGAAGAGAAGGGTGTCTGCATTTCTAGGTAGGGCCCTGACTGTTCTAGAAGACTCAGTAACCCATTTATAGGAGAACAGTTTCAGCATCAGAAAGGTTCAGGTAAATGCCAGACTTTTATTGTGCTGCAGTCCAATAGGTTTTCATGATTTTATATCTGATCTGCTATTTGGGTAATACCTGAAGAAAATCATTTTCAGGCTAAGCAGTCATCTTCTGTGCCCCGCTCATTGTCAGGCGAGAATCATCCAGCCTTCCCTATAGGACAGCCAGAGGTCAGAGTGCACATTTCTGACCATAGTGTATTTCCTGCCTTTGTAAACAAAACTTTTCTCTGGCTATTTCCTTATAGAAGTCTTGTGTTCCCTACTCTGCACTGTAGATGGGCAAAGTGGATATGGGCCAGTTTGTTCAAGAATTGCTGTTCACCTTGAGGAATGGTGCGGCAGTGCTTGGACAAGGATATGTAAAGAGGGAGGGTGGGAGAAGCAACCTGACGTGAAAAATAGAGAACAGGTTTTCATTCAAGTCACTGTAGAAAGTTTTACGACTTCTGCATCCTCTCCCCCCACAGTCACTGGAAATTTAAACAGCTCCCTTCCAGTGCTTTGGTTAGTTAGTTTTCACTCTACATGATTTATGGTGGAACTAGCCAAAAAGATAGATGAATTTCCTCTTATCTTGACAAACATCAGTTGGGGTTAGTGCTCTTTCCCAAGGCAAAATTTGAGGTGGTAAAATAGATCATACAGAAGTCACAAACAATTAATTTTATTACCTTGCAAAGAGTTTTTGTTCAATTTAACAAGGATGGATTGGGTGTTTGGCCATTTTCCTTCTATGGGCTCTTTCTAAAATTAACTTTCTTTACAAAAGTGTAGAATCTCAAGATAATCAGCATCTAAAATCTGCTGTGAGGTGTGGGAACATAAACAAGTTTGTGTTAACTGAAGATTTGTTTTTCTTTTCAGAATATCTAGAATGCTTGGAATACTTTCTGTGGCCAAATGCTAATGCTGCTATGTCTGTTGGAATGTTAAGTGTTCTTTAATTTTGTTTCAAGTGTTAAAAGCTTTTAGAAGAAGGAAGTGGAGAATGGGACTGTTCAAAGTGCCTGAAGTATTTGTAGAAGGGAGGAAAGTTCATACAAGGAATATCATCCATAGTTGGAGAATGGAAAATGAGAAAGGTAGCTACAATACAAGCTTTAGGAAATTTTTATTCATTATGGTACTGCCAAATACCACAAAAATGTGTGTGAGAGGCTGTTTTGGGGGTTGTTCTGGAAGCCTATTTTGCTATTACACTGCAGTGACTTGCCTGATAGTGGAAGATAGGAGGTTAGATATTAATCAGTATACATGTATACTGTAAAATATTCGAATTTGTGTGTAAAAATAGCACATTTTTAAATTGGTTTAGAGTACTCAGCAATGCTTTATAATTGTAATGAGAGGAAAATTGATGCAGTAAATGACTGTTTCTGTGAGACTTCTGGTAAATAGCTGAGAACTCAGTTGCTGATTGTAGCCTGTTGTGTTTTCTTAGCAAGTTTAATTTGGTTTCTTGGTTGGGCTGTGTTGGCAAGGTTTGGTCATGAAGGCTCAATTGCTGTGTTAAATGAAACAAAATATTGGGCCAGTTTCAGCTGAAAAATCAAGGCAGTGATTATTTTGTGATGCTGCAGAGTTTAGCAGTGGGGTTTAGAGGTGCTGTTGCAGTTCTGAATTTGCAGGTCTCGTCTGGTGCACTGAAGGGTACAAGTTATCTGTCTGGACTTATGAACTATTTTCTGTATTACAGTATCAATTAGGAGATTTCTGTGTTCTGGGATTTTATTATATAAATAGTCTTACATAGAATCATAGAATAGTTTGGGTTAGAAAGGACCTTAAGATTATCTAGTTCCAACCTCCCCCTGCCATGAGGAGGGGCACCTCACATTAAACTTTGTCACCCAAGACTCCATCCAGCCTGGCCTTGAACACTGCCAGGGATGGAGCATTCACAACTTCCTTGGGCAATCCATTCCAGTGCCTTGCCACCCTCATGGTAAGGAACTTCTTCCTTGTGTGTAGCTTGGACTTCCCCTGTTAAGTTTGAACCCACTAACCCTTGTCCTATCACTACAGTCCCTGATGAAGAGTCCCTTCCCAGCATTCTTGTGTTTAAGAAAGTGTTGATCAGTTGTGAGGATTGTAAATAAATTTTCAGGGACGTGACTGTCATCTCAGAAAGTAACTTGTGTTTTAGTGGTACAGTGGATGCTCAGTGGTACTTTGCTGTGGCACAGGATCTGCCTTAGTTGCAGTTTAGTGCTGTTGTGTGTTAAGGCTTGCTGCCAACAGGTGGATGCAGTAGGATTAATGATTCCCTGTCAGCCCAGTCCCTTAGTACTTGTTGTAACTGGTGGTTTTGGTGCCCTGGGGAGCACTTGCATGTCATTTGTTGTATTTAGGATTCTTTGCTCGAGTGAGAGCAGATGTACTGCAGAATACTTGGGTTGCTGTGCCTTGTGCTGCTTGTGCTTCTCTGTGACTATAAGACATAGCCCATAGATGAAAGACAAGGTACCTCACTGATTGTCCAGTCAGTTGTGAGAGGCCTTTTGCTTGTTTGCTTTTCCCTAAGTATGTGGATGAGAGAGGGAGAAAGAAGGGTTCTGGGTCAGCACTGAAGGGTTCCATATGCTCTTGTGATGTTTGAGTCCTAGCGGTCCTTTTGACAGCAGTTCCTCAACGCATGTGGGGCTAAATGCATTCAGGCTAAACGCACTGTTTTGTTCATGGTTCTCCCCTTTGAAATGTGGCTTCCCACAAGTAGGAGACAATATTTGAATTGGTAGCTTTGTAGCAAAGCCCTTGGTTCAGCTGGAGGTGCTAGTTGGCTAACTGAGAGGTCTTTAGTGCTGTTGGTACAGAAAGCACTGTATGCCCTGGCTCAAACTAGCAAGTGAAATCCACGGTGACCTTTCTCTAAGCAGCAGTGAAACTTTTCCCAGGAAAATGTATAAAAACATCTTGCTGCTCCTAGGTGCTCTTTATCTCTCTGGAGGAGCCAGGGATGGGGAAGCGGTGTTTAGCATCTGTGTACTATTTTACTCATGTTTGCGTGCATGGCACTTAACCTAGGTAACTTGGCTGAAGTGACTACTTTGGCTGTTTGAAGTCTTGTTCATAGAAGCCAGTTGAGTGGATGGGACATGGAAGCCATGTAGCAAAGTTAATGAGCACTGCAATTTCTTGGTTTAATATCAGTTTTAAGTATGTCATTTTAAGTTGTATTCTTGAGTGGCTCACTTAGCCTTTGTGGGCTTCACTTTAGGAATGCTGACACACACAATAAAATATTAGATAACTGTCTTATAGGGACTTGATCTCCAGTTGTTATGGGCTTTAGAGTGTGTCTTTTCACTCATGTGAATGTACAGAAACCAGCGGCTGATTCTGGAATGGTAATGGTAATTTTGATTGGCAGTCAGACCGAGTAGAAAGCAATAATATAGTGACTGAGTTGATTCAAGAATGGTGCATATTTGATTAAAGCAAAAACTGTGTGTTGTTTTGGATGTATTGGCAATCTTTCCCAAGCTAGATGCCTTTAAGGAGCTAATGCTGCAGATTGACTGTCTCAACAGTTTTTTTTTTGTGTATATATATATATTTATAATTCCTACTAATAAAATACTTTTTCCTTTTCTTTCTGTTCTTGCTTGCCCCACAACATGACAGTTAGTTTTCTGGAATTATGTATTGCTATTGTAAATCAGCCAGCAAGCAGAAGGAGTACTGAATGTTCTTGTAGTTTCTCTAAAAACATTGGGGGTAGGGAAGACGACAATTTACTTTGACTCCAAAATCTATGCTTGTAAAAAAATATTTGCAAAACCACAATAGATGTCTTCAGAAGAAGTATGTGGGAAGTTTTGAAAGAAATCCTTTGTTATAAACATTTTTCCATTTTGGGCAAATTGTAAGTATTAAACACTTTATAAAGGCAGAGTAATACGGTTGTGTTTGTGTGGCACTTTTGTCTTGGACCAGGTTGCTACGCTTTTTTTGTGTGGGTTTTTTTTTTTTTGTTTTGTCTCTTTTTGCCTATCTGAGTTTGTTTTAGAATGTTTGTGGGCTTTTCTTAACCCTATCCCAAATAAAGCATAGGATAATCCATAATTTTTTTTTTTACCATAGCAGTTCTGAGCTCTGTTTTTAAGTACTGTTTTGCTAGGAAATATTTTAACTATTCATTCTCATATTTGTCTTAGTATTAGCTACAGTATGTTAGTGAGCTTTTACATTGTATTGTAAACTGATGTATTTCAATCAAGAGCTTGGTTATCATTTTGCATTTAGCCTTCAGATTTGTTCACTATGATATCGTACTAAAAAAGGAGAATATAGCTTCATACACTGCTTTTCCATTACTGTCATATGAGTTTATGGGTAACTGACTCATATAGAAAGGCCATGCTAAGTGGGGTGGAGTAAAGAAAAGGGAAGGAGGCAAATGATTTAAAAAAATCTGTGTAAAACAAGTTCTGTTCTGACTTAGTAACACTCATGATCATGTTTCATGGAGACTGGAAATAGCTTTTCAAGTGGCAGAATTTTGTGTCTCTCACAGAGTCTTCAGTATCACTTTTACAGTGATGCTGAAAAACAAAGTTAAGAAGTACCTGCCTTTTTAACACTTTTGCATAAAATGTCTGTGGCCACTAGTGATGTGTAGTGAGATTTTTGGTAGACTTCTAGTCTCCTTTTCTCTAACAGGTGTTTATAATCCAAAGAGAAAAACTGCCATTGGACTTTGTCAGACTTGTACAAAATGTCTTATGGAACATTATGTACTTATGTAACCTGAAAAAGAAAGTTTTGGATCCCTTTGTTCTTTTTAAGAAGTAGATTACTGGCAGTAACTTGGGCTTTTGGCTGAATACTATGTTACCTGATGTTAATGTGTTTCAGTGGAAGTGTAGAGCTGGATAGAACTGATGGAAATTCAGTAGGCAAAATGAGAAGAATGATCTTGAAAATATTGCAGCTCAGACTTGAGTGTGTGTGCTAATACAGTTTTCATTTTTGCCTTCCAGATCATATTTATCAAGTTGCGAGTACTACTCAGTAGCTATTACAAAACCTTTGCTGTCTCTCAAGTAGTAACTGAGTGTTTAAATAGCCATAGAAAGGAACCATTGAAGAGCTGTACAGACTACTCAGGAGTGACTGCTTCCTATCCCTCTTTGCCCAGTTGAAGACAAGCCCTGGGTAGTCTTGTATGAATTTGTGAAGAAGGAATTTAAGCCCCAAATAGTATTTTTTTTGGTGTATTTATTTCCAATTTGGGAAGCAGCATGTAGTATGGGAGTCCTAATGTAAAAGAATAGATATAAATTCCTTCTGGCATGGGATGGAACCAGGAGGTGCTTTTGCTTGCTGCATAAAATGCAGCTTTAGTATTTCCTTCACCTGAGTATCTCAAAAAGGAGGATTGTGTTCTGTCGGTATTTTCTTAAAAACATAATGTTTTTAATGGATACAGCTATTTGGAAATAATGGTTCATGTTATATGCTAGTACTTTCCCCCTTACTTGTTCAGTGTGATAGCTCAGTTGAATCACACCACACTGTGCATTCTGCTACTGAAACAGCATATTTTCTCCCCATTGAGCAGAACATTCTTTAGGCTTTTGTAATGATGCTAATGTCATAACTGCAGCTTTTTTAGGCATGAAGACCTATTGCTTCATTATTGAAAACTCCCTCTAGCCCTGTATTATGATGCCTGTGTTTTATCTTTAATGAATATGATAACGCTAAACATCTTGAGCAATTAGTATTGTTGAAAACAGATTCTGCTTCGTATTTTTGTATGTCATTCTTGAGTCTTGCTTATGCATAAAGATATACCCATTTTATGTCATGGAACTGACTAAACAGAAATGATGAGCTCATGTGAATGACTTGTTGCTAGAAGCAGACTTGTGAATTCCACTGACCTGGATACATTGGTAAATGAGAAAGCTGCTTCATATAAGGAATTCAGAAAATTGGTATGTTACAAGAACTTTTGGAAAAAATGTCCATGCAGTAGTTCAATAGCATCTTCCTCAATAAAAGCATTCTTTGTTCCATTCAGGTTATATGTTGGTGTGATAGTTCTGTAAGTCTTATCAGTACTTTTATTTCTCACATATTACTTCAATACCTTGTATGTAAAGAAAACTGTGTGAGAAGAGATTACTGATTCCATGGCATAGGACTTTTTGAACCACTATCCTCAGTTTAAAGAGGAGATACGTATTACCTGATTCTGTAAATGTTTTTTTCTTACACCTAATGATTGTGCTATAGACACCTCCATTAAATGAACTGTTGTAATGTTTTAATGTCATCAACATCTGTCTTGCTTTCTAGTGTAAACCTGTAATTTTTATGCCACCAGTACATCCGTTCATAACTAATGACTTTTCTTTGTTGTGGCAGGTGCCACAGCACTATTCTAGTGCTTAAATTTGCTCTTGGGAATGATTCCGAGTTGGGAGGTTTAGACAAGTTGCTCATTGGTTTCATGAGGATGCACTGGCAGCATTTATTGCCAGTGAGACCTCATACTTCAGTGCTTTTCTTTATTGGTCGCTATATGCATGAAAAAGAAAACCACAGAATGCTTGAAAGAACATGCTTCTTAGAGCTGATAATAAGGGTACCATTTGTATGAATGGTAGATAGGAAGATGAATGATTGTAGTCTAACAAAGCCTGATATTTGGAATCAGAATTCAGTCTGAGGGGTAGAGGCTAACAGCTGGCTCTGTTTGGGCTCTTAGTTTCTTTTGCATTTTCTGGCTAGGGATTCAACTTCAAAGATAAGACTCCATTGAGCCAAATGGTTTTACCATGCAGCTTATCTGATAGAATGTTTTCCAGATTCCCAGTGAAGCTATTGGTGAATCTTAACAGGCACCCTCCCTATAATTTTCCTTTCAAAAAATGCAGTCATTCCTCAATCAGTAGAAGAAAATTGAGTGCTCAGACTAAAGGGGAATTTGACACAATTGGAAGAAGATCTGAGACTTGTATTCCTGCAAAATTGTCTGTCTTTATTTTTCCTTTGAGTAATCAAGTTTTTTGGTTCATCTTTCTTCCCTAAAAC